TGAGATACATAATGTTTTATATCACTGTCATAACCTTGAAACAGGTGGTCATTTTAGCACTTCCAAGACTATAGCAAAGGTATGGCAATCAAGGTTTTATTGGCCAACTATGTACCGAGATGTTAGGGAATATATTCAAAGTTGTGATGCATGCCAAAGAACTGGATATATATCTCGAAAAAATGAAATGCCCCTAACTACTTTCTTAGAAATTAAGTTATTTGATGTGTGGGATATAGATTTTATGGGACCATTCCCCAGTTCTGTTAATAATAAGTACATATTAGTAGCAGTGGATTATGTTTCTAAATGGGTAGAGACAATCATTTCACCTATTAATGACTCTAAGGTTGTACTCCAATTCCTTAAAAGGAACATTTTTTGCAGATTTGGCTTACCTAAGGCCATAGTAAGTGATGAAGGAAAACATTTTTGTAACAAACAACTTGATTCCTTATTGTTTAAATATGGCTGTAGGCACAAGACATCACTCTCGTACCATCCTCAAGCCAACGGACAAGCGGAGTTAGCTAATTGAGAGATAAAGCTCATCTTGGAGAAAATCGTGAATAAATCACGCAAAGATTGGGCTACAAAGCTAGATGATGCACTATGGGCTTACCGAACGACATTTAAGACACCCTTAGGGATGTCGCCGTATCGCTTAGTCTATAGAAAAGCTTGTCACTTACCTGTAGAGATTGAATATAAAGCTTATTGGGCTATTAAAACAATTAATATGGATTTTAATCTTGCAGGTGGAAGGAGGTTACTTGAATTAAGTGAATTGGAGGAACACCGGCTACATGCTTATGAAAATGCTAAAATTTATAAAAAAAAAAGGGTTAAATATTAGCATGATAAGCATATTATCCCTAAATAATTCCAGGTGGGGCAAAAAGTGCTCTTATTCAACTCACGCCTGAGGTTATTTCCGGGAAAACTTAAGTCAAGGTGGTCGAGACCGTTTGAAGTTACTCAAGTATTCCCTTATGGAGCCGTTGAAGTGGCAAATTTAAGAAATGAAAGGTTTAAGATCAATGGATAACGATTAAAACCCTACTTAGCGGGTGAAATCGTTCCCGAGGGACGTATATGTCACTTGGGTGACTCTTTTTCAATTTGAGTCGAGCCAACGACTATAAATAAAAGCGCTAATTGGGAGGCAATCCAATGATTTCTTTTGTTTTAATGTGTTTTAAATTGTATGTTTTATTAGTTGGTGTGATTTTAATGTTAAATTGGCTTTGTAGGGTCTTGCCGGTCCAAAGGAGTATCTTTAAGGATCATAAGAGTGTTCAAACCGAGAAAAAGGGAAGTTTAATATTGGAATTTGTTTTAAGGGTTAAAATTATTTTTTTAGTTCTAATATGAGTTATGCATGTTTGTGATATTCAAGTGAGTTTTGGTGATAACATGTTTGTATATGCTCATTGACTCATTTGATGAGCATTTCATGCCTAAAGGTGCCATTTTAAGGTAAAAATGCCAAAATGATCAAAGAATATCAACCCTCAATTGGCAATATAGATGTGTTTGATGTATTTAGAGAGGTTGGATTTAATGTTTAAGGTATCTTACACTTGCGTGGGGGGTTGAAAGTGCTATGTTTTATTAGTTGGTGTGATTTTAATGTTAAATTGGCTTTGTAGGGTCTTGCCGGTCCAAAGGAGTATCTTTAAGGATCATAAGAGTGTTCAAACCGAGAAAAAGGGAAGTTTAATATTGGAATTTGTTTTAAGGGTTAAAATTACTTTTTTAGTTCTAATATGAGTTATGCATGTTTGTGATATTCAAGTGAGTTTTGGTGATAACATGTTTGTATATGCTCATTGACTCATTTGATGAGCATTTCATGCCTAAAGGTGCCATTTTAAGGTAAAAATGCCAAAATGATCAAAGAATATCAACCCTCGATTGGCAATATAGATGTGTTTGATGTATTTAGAGAGGTTGGATTTAATGTTTAAGGTATCTTACACTTGCGTGGGGGGTTGAAAGTGCTAAAAAGTTCGTCCAAAGTGTAATTTGGAATTGGCCGAAAAAGGGAGAGAAAATTCAAAAATTATAGTTTCTGCAATTAATGCAGAAAACAGATGATCCGAGCTCGGATCTGAGGAGGTTCTCTTAGATCCGAGGGCTCGTCTGATCATCTAGCAAGACGGATCCAAGCCCATCGGATCCGAGGGCTGTTGGAACCGATCCGAGCTCGGACCGGTTCGTGATAAGAGGAGAACCAAGGGTTCGGTTCCTCATTTTTCATAGCCTTTCTCCTTCTTCCTCATCAAAACCCTAACTTTTTTCTCTAATCTCCCATTTCAGCCATTAATCTTCCAATATTTCACTATAAAAACATCCCCTCAACTCTTGTGATCATTACCCTCAATAATTTCTCATCAAAACAACATTAAAAAGGGATTTTAATCACCTTCAAGAAAAATTGGGGCTGACTGAATTTCTTCAATTTAAGGACGAATTTGGACTGTTTCTTCCTAATTTTGGCAACCTTATCATCCTCTAGCATCACTCTACACATTTGATGTAAGAATTTTCAACTTTTTTTGAAATTCTACATTTCCTAATTCTTAATTTTTTCTATTTTTTCTATATATTTGGGAAATGCATATATGCTGAAATTTTTTACTATAATTGTGTTACATTGTGCTAATATATGTCATTAGAACTATTTGTATGCTTAGAATTGAGGAAATTGTGAATATGGTGATATTTTTGTATAATTTTTCTCATTTATTAGGCTAAAGCACTTTGTACTTTTTGCTTGCAATTTCTTGCCTCTTTGGATAAGTTGGACTTGTTTTTATGAAGTAGAGATTATCTCTAGGCCAATTAAAGGATTTCATTTCATAATTGGAACGAATTGGTATGTATTTATTGGGTGCAATTGCTAGATATTGAGAATTACTAAAATTGAGGATGTGTTTTTTCTTGATTATGGTTTTAATTCTCCAGTGATTGGATTTATCTTGCACTTAATGAGATCCTAATTGGAAATGTGCATTCTAGATGTTAAAATTGGATTTGAGAAAGGTTAAGTGGATTATTTGTTTGAATTTGGTGTTCTTGGTAGGAGGTTTAGTCCTTTTCAAGGGGAAACTCTGCCGAAATTTTCTCAAATTACTTTCCAACATTTTTTGAAATGTATTTTCAAGGGGTTTAGATTGCTTCTAATGTGTATTGATCTTGTTCTTGATATAAGCACCATGGTTCGCACAAGAAGGGCTATTATTCGCACACATTTGCTGTCTTCGAGTGAGGAACACACTCCTTTATTGCCTGAGGAGTCCCTCTCACCAGTGGAGGAATCTCCCTCACCTGAGTCGCCGTCTTGCTCACGACAAAAGAGAGCATCCACTAGCCACGAGGAGCCACCTCCGGAGTATGATACCACGAGCTTTACATCATTAGAAAACCAACAGTGGTATGAAGCCGGTTTAGCCAAAGAAATTATCATTGAGAAGCACTTGGCACCGGAGGTGGATGACCATTATAAGATCTCCATAGCATTTGGGCGACTTGGATGGGCGAATATACTCAATTTGCCAAAGCATTACTATCCCAATTTGGTGCGGGAATTTTGTGCCAATGTGAAAGAAAAGCATGGCAACAGTGGTAATCTAATTGTCTCCTGGGTTAGAGGAAAACGGATTGCCATCCATCGCGGGACAATTGAGAGATATTTCCAAATCAAGGATTCGGGGGAGGATGTTAAATTGACCAAAGAATTTAAGGCACATGATCCATGGCATGTAGGAGAAGCTGTATCACGTCTTAAGGGTCAATACCGTGAGAGAGGAAGTTCGAAGAAGCAAATAGTATATGCAGATTCATTAGAGTCTAGGTACCATCTTATTTTCTATCTCTTTGCTTTTAATGTGGTACCTAAGAAGAGCGGCAAAAGGGAATTACGCAATAGTGACCTATAATTTTTGGACAAAATGATGCATGGCATAGGTCGACAGTTGACGAGCATTCCTTTAACCAGCATTATCATTAGCTATATGCGTACCACAGCTTGTATGAGAGCGGGTGAGACTTGCTTTGGATTTCCTCATTTCCTTTCTCTCTTATTTGAGAAGCTTGAGGTTGCATTGGGTGCAGAAAGAGCCCTCAAGACCAAAGCAGTTGATGAGGTAAATGTTTCTTTATTAAAGTCCTTGGGTATCCCTACGGACTTTGGAGCCTCTTTGGTACAAGATGTCGTTATTGTGGAGGCTTCGACTTCTACTCAGCCTCCACCTCACCCTCAGCCAGAACCAAGTAATTAGGATCCAGGATTGGAACATGCTGGAGCATCGACCTCAAATCCAGTTTCACGACCACCACTACCTCCGAGATCTAAATGGCAAAAGGTACTCAATGCTATCTATTTTATGGAAACACGGGTCATGGAGCGGATTGATTAGCATGAGCGACGGATGATGGAATGACTCAAGAGGCATGATCGACGTCTTCGAGCATTGAAGGACCACTTTCGCCTTCATCGTTCGCCTACTCCGACTCCTAACCCTGAGAAGGGCCACATTGGTACATCCAATGGGCCACAAGGTGCCGATGAGAGCATTGATCCTTATTCTGCGCAGCCTTGAAGACCTCTTTGATGACTGGAGATTCTATAGTCTTTTGTTTATTTTAGTTTGAACCTCTGAAATCTTCATTCCCTTTGTTAAACTTGTGCTACTTATGTTTCACTGTATCTTTTGTTTCAGTTTGAGCAGAATTTGGATGTTCGTGATGTTCGTGGTCTAAAAAATTGCATCAACACTTCTTTATATGGGAGTACTAGTTTCTTTTCCCTTCTTTCATAATGAGGACATTGTGATTTTAAGTGTGGGGGAGGGATTATTTTGTGTTTTGATTACGTTATGGCTTTTTTTTTATTTGGCTAACCCCGTACACGGGGAGGGACGCCACCCCCTTGTTTTATTAGAAACCAACAACATAAATACAAAGGAGTTTATTTGCGAACAGCCCTAACACGAATGGCAGGAATTCCTGCTTTATCTAGTCTCAATGCCCCTCTAGCAAGCCTTGGTAACTCCGATTGTGAGGTATAAATAACAGTACCTGACTCACTTGCCCCTACCTTAGCCAACACATCTGCCACCTAGTTTGCCTCTCGATAATAATGTCCCACTGTCCAATCCAGCTCACAAGTTGCCTGGATTGTGTTAATTTCCGACCTTATGAGCCACGGACACTTCGACTTGCCTCGAAGGATGTTAGCTAATAGGAGTGAATCCACCTGCACCTGTACCCTAGAGAAGCCCTGCAACACGCATTGCTACACGCCATAGATTAACGACTTGGCCTCCGCTTGCAAACTTGTTAACTCCCTAAGGGGGATGGAGAACCCAAATACCATATCACCAGATGAATCCCTAAGTACACCATCCCCACCATTCTTCCCCGGATTGCCCAGTGAGCAGCCATCCGTGTTTAACTTGCACATCCCCTGACCTGGCAATTCCCAACATACCACCCTAAGGGAGTGTCGAGGGCACCATCCAGAAATGTTTTCATTTGATTGTAGCTTAGAAATATTGGATTATATTTGGAAGGTTTAATCCTCATTTGACTTGGAAATGGTTATTATACAATTAGGATTTTTGTATTTTAGAAAGTATATTCGGTAAAGTGAGGAAAATAATGCCTATAATTTTAAATGTTTAATAAGATTTCTCCTCTTTACTTAATTTTATAAGTAAGTGATTGATATAGTCAATAAGAAGCCATACTCTTCCTTTAATTATTCTTATTTTCAATGAGGGAATATCTAGTTATTGTCTTATTTAAAAAATAATAATAATAATAACAATTGTTCTACTCCAATAATTCTCGTACCAAGTAATCGGGGGTTGGCATCTACAAATGCCGATATTCGCGTAAAAAAGTACTTGAATTAAGAGTATGCATAGCAACTTAAATAAGTGAAATGTTGAGTAACCGGGCATTTTCACCTAAAAGTGTCGATCTTCGCGTAAAAAAGCATTTTCATTATTTAAGTAAAAACAATGTGAATAAGTCCCTCTTAGTTGTAAAATTTCGAGAAAAAGATGATTATAGGCGGAGGAAGGCTATAAATTGACTATGTGATTTGCTTATTTGTAAAATTAGGTTAGGATGAGAGATTAAGTTTAATTTGTTAAATTAGGGTATAATTATCTTTCCTTTATGTGATATTATGAGTATTTAGTGCAATTTGAACAATGGCATAATGATTGGTTTCTAAGTCATGAGGAATTAAATTTGAAAAAGCATATATATTATTTCACCTCTTGAATCATTGAAACTAATTATGTGCAAATTGCTTGAGGAGAAGTGATGATTCAAGTGTGGGGGAATTTGATAAATGAATATTTAATGTATATTTTGTATGGTTTGGCATGAACTTTTGGTATGTTTTGAGAGGATTATAGCCATATTTGAATTCTTTTTGGTACAAATTGCTTAAGTGTTGTTTGAATAATGGAAACCTGAAAAAAGAATGGATTAATGCATAAACTTGTGACATTTTGAAGGTTATCGATGCATGAACATCACACATATGATTAAGAAGAGGCAAATATTAGTGATGAAAAATGAGCAAAGGAAACAAGGAACGAAGATGGAGAAAAAAGAGAAGATGAAAACAAAGTGCAATGGCTCCGAGCTCGGATCCATTCACACCAAAGAAAGATCCGAGCCCTCGACTGAACTTCTGGAGCAACGAATCCGAGGTCAGTTGATCCGAGCTCGGATACCCCTTGGATCCAAGGCCTCGGATTTTCCTCTCTCCTCTGCAAGTGGCTCAGCCATTTTTTCTTTCTTTTCACATTACTTTCCAGCTATATTTGGTAAAAGAATTCGGTTGCACATACTTCTGATGCAAAAAGGAGGACAATATGATTAATTGTCAAGCCAAAAACATTGCTTTTGACTTTCTTAAAAAATTGAGAATCATTAGAATGGTGGAAAGGAACTTTTCACCAGCTTTTATGTAGAACAACAAAGGAGAGGCCAGAAACATACGGAAGCTAGCAATTTCTTGTAGACATTCTCTCTATCTAGCAGAATTTGCAAAAGCACTTGGAGACTTCATCTTTGTAATCATCTAGTGCCAGTCATAGCAGATTTTGAGGGCTTCACCATTAACTTGGCTAAGCTTTCTTTCTCATTCTTGTACTTGTAACTTATGAGGTTTTCCATTAATGAAGTTATGAGTTTAATTGCTATATCATTTATGAGCAACTAAATTCCTATATCTAGGGAGTAGATGAAACAAATGGCCAAGTGATATGAATTGAGTGTGATTTATACTTGTTATATTTTGTATTAACTTGTTTACTTGTGCATGTTTAATTACTTCTTGTTGTTTCATCACCAATAGTAGGTTTTTAATTGTTATTACTCAATGAGAATTGGTAATAATAATGGAATAACATCAGTAGAGCTTGAGTTGTAAGTTCATGAGAATAGAAATACACTCAAGTGGATTAAATTTGCATTTCATGAATGAAATAAGAGCAGTTTTAGTTTTTCACCAAGAGATTAGGGAAAATTAGGCTGTTCTAGACCATATTATCATGAGAATGAAATTTTGGCAATTTTGAAAATGAATCCCTGGTTGAACAAGAGGAGTAACAAGTGTTAAATTCATTCATTTGGATTTTTTGCGCCATAAGTGGAATCTACATCCTTAGATTCAAGTCTTTTGTGAATTTTCTCCATTTGTAACTTGCATTGATCTAATCAGATTGTAGGCAATTGCATTTATAATATTTTTGCTCTAATTTATTTTTAGTCTAAATAATAGAGTAAATAAGGACCTAGTACTTGATTATTTTGCTCTTCGTGGGATCGACCCGATACATGCCCTATACTACTTAATTGACCTGTATACTTGCAGACAAATGGGTATAAAAATCGGAATTAAACTTGCACTTACCTCAAAAACCCGTCATGGATATTTGAATTGATAGTTATTACTTGATTTTAGGTTAGAAAGGATATCATTTTAGGGTTAGCTAGGCAGCGAAACGAGTCATGTTTGACACCTTAGAGTTGGTAGAGCTCTTTTTTAGTTTAACTTGATTAGGGTACGGAAATTTGATATAGCTAAAACTTTCGTAGGATAAAGGGCTGTTTTGGTGTTGCCAATTTTCTTTCTTTCTTTGTTTTTTTTTTTTTTGAAGACTGCCTTTGTCTGCGATCTTGTTTTCTTGTTTAATGGGTGCGGTTATTGATTGGTACCTGGAATATTTTGCGTTTTCACCACTTCTAAGTACTATTTCATGGGTAGGGAATGAGGTGACCTAAGCAAGAGGAAATCATATTTACTGGCCAACAAGCAATTCTTGACAAGAAGAAATTGTAAGGGGTATATTTTAGCACCAATTTTGATAACTTGCTGATTTTTTTGGTTTACGTTCCTGCTTTTCTTTTGTGCTTGATCGAATTTGTATGGATGGCAAATAGATATGTGTGATTGTGACTTTTAACGCATTCAAATTTTATTAAAGTCGGAGGGTTTTCTTACATCCGCTTTATAATGATAATTGAATTACGTAATAGTTAAGGTTGAGATTCCAGAGTACAGAGACTCTAGGTTCTAAACTCCCTATCCCCTCTCCATTGCTTAATTTTCACTGCTTCCTTGGTATAAAAAAGTGTTTAAAAGATAATTGAATTGTGGGTTTTGACAAATAATGGTAAGTGAAGTCCTTGACCAAGATTCAGCTAAAATATATTTGTCTATTGAGAATTTCGTTACCGCTTGTGTAGATTACAACTGCCAATCGAACTTGCTGCTGCAAAAGGAATTTTGGATCTGTTAGTATCCATGACGAACCTTTGAAAATCAAATTTGAAGAGAACAAGTAAGCACAATTACCAACGGTGAAACGAGTTAACATGAATGTAAAGGCTACATAAAAATTCTGATAGTGAAATTTTCCCTTCAAAATCTAAATGGAAGTCCTTTCCAGTTTCCTCTTGGAGTAAGCCAAATACTTGAGGTGGATTTTATCATTCTTTATCTGTTCAGGCCATTCCCAAGTTTAAATATTTGACAGTATTTTTTTATAACTAACAATTCTAGTTATTATAATGTTTTAAAAAATTATTATCCTTTTTCTATCAAACAAAATTTTAAAATACTACTTTTAAAACTTTTGTGCAAATGTGTTTCCATTAGGATTTCATATAGATAATGCAAACGGAATAAAGAAAAGCACAAACTTTTGACTTCGTGTAACTTATTCTTTTACTATGCTAATTTTATTGCTAATGGATACAAAGGATTAAATATGAAATTCCATTGTTGAATTAGTTAAACATGACAGTGAATTACTTCAATGAAAATATTAATTATTGTTTAATAAAATGTCAAATTTTCTCCTAGTTACACGAATAGCATAGCACCAACATGCGACCAGTAAAAACATTATAGTATAATATGATCCACCACAATTAATTCAAACTTGTGCATACCACATATTTTATTCTTTTCGGATGTCTAAATAAATATTAATTAAGCCCAACATTTAGAAAAGTAATACACATTTTGTTAATACTAATAGAAAAGGCGCATTTTATGTCTATGCAAATTCTAAAAAAAAAAAATCATAAAATTAGCTGTGTATCGTCGACCTTTAATTATTGCTTTACCTATATTTTTATTCTTTTTCTTTTTTCCCCTTTCTTTATTTCTGTCCTTTTCTCCTAATTAGTTTAGCCTTTATCTTTTAACAATTTGTCTCTGTCTTTGTTTTTGTCTCTGTCTTTTTCCTTTTTCCTTTTTTAAATTCTTTAGATCGTCTCCTGTATCTTGCTATAATCAAGGGAAAAGGGTGACCTACGAAAAAGACAGCAGAAACTTGTAAGTGGAGTTTTTATCTGATTTAACTGTTTCATTCTTTCCTTTTTATATTTCTTTGAACTCTGGATGTCTTCGAAGCTTCTGATGATTTCTTTTTTTGTTTTTAATTTTGAACACCAAAAGGCTTATCCACAGGTAAAAAAGCAAGCAAACCTCCATACGTTGAAATTAAATTCTTTTATCTCCATAACATATTATATATCTCACTTTATGCACTCATGTAAAAAAAAAAAAAATTTATTTTCTTTCACATTTTCTTTGTTCCTCACAAATAGCTAAAAGTAAAAGAATAATAGGGTTGGTAGTCACTGGTTGTTGTACCTAAGACTTGAATGTTTGATTACATTTCCGAACTGAAAAGTGCTGAGTCGCCTTTTCTTTTGAGGGGCCGAGAGTGCAAGAGTGGAAACAACTTAAGCAGATTCTTACTAGAAGTCTGGAACCTAAAAGATGTTTTTTTTTTTTTTTGGCTAACCCAGCAAAGGGGAGGGACGCCACCCCCACTTTTATTCATAATAAATAGAGATACAACGGGCACAAAGTTGAACAATTTCTGTTACTAGAATTAGGATGATTTCACGATCCTAATAGAAGGCATTCCAATAAAGTCTAGTCGAATTCTCTCACGAGCCAGTCGTGGCCATTCATTCCAATGCTCATACAATTTGATATCCAGGTGAGAATGAGCTACTCCAACATTTGCCAGAGTATCCGCCACCTTGTAAAGGATGAGCTACCTAAAGGATGTAAAATAGCCTTCCATATTTTTCTCGATAAAGAAGTGAGGGAATGCCACAAAACTTGGAAAACAGCTTCTCCTGAACCAAAGATGCTCTAAATTTGATGTAAGAGGGTATATAGTTAGTTCTGTTGCAGCTAAGTCTTTGGGTCAAATCTGAGATAGAAGTAACTTTATTGTACTATCATGTGAACTATAAAATATATTGTCAATTCTGGGCCAGCAGATAATAGTATCATTGTTCGTGGCGTTGAATGTCTATTTGTGATAGTCTAGGAAATGTTAATGGTTTAAGCAATGCTTAGCATTGACCAACTTTACTATACTATCATGTCAACTATAAAACCTGAAATTTCAATATGAGGGATCATTTTTTTTTATTTTTTTTTTGTAAACCAGCCACTGTGAGAAATGGTATGTTTCTGTTGTTTTTTTTTTTTTTTTTGGATTAATCACATTTTATCCCCTTAAAGAATACCACATTTTTCAGTTTACTCCATAATCTTTAATTTTGCTCACTTAACCCCCTTTAGAACAAAATTGTCCTAACATTATTTTGACTTTTCATTTACCATGTTTTCCTTTCTTTTATTTCTTTTTTCTTTCTTCTTTATTTAATTCTCTCTCTTTCCCACAAAATCTTCACCTTAATGATTGAAATTAAAAAAGAGGAATTGCAGATATCTAACTTCTCCTTAAATGATTAAAAAAATATTCAAATTACTTTCTTAAAATACAATTTTTTTAGTCTTTCAATTTTTTTAATTTTGGGTTTTCCTCTTTCCTTTCTAGTTTCTCATTTTATTCTCAAGAAAATATCATAAGATAAAATTGTTTTCCTTTTTTTTTATTTCTTTTTCTCTTTCTTCTCTCTTTCATCCTTCCCAATAGAAATTTCATTTCAACGAAAATTTTTGTTTTGAGTTTGTAATTGGATATTTCTGGGTGAAGGTTTAAAAAGTATCAAAACTAATTTTGATTTTTTGTGTGATGCCACGTGTCACAAATTTCAATTGATGATTATTAATCAAGTCACAATTTCATCTTAAGATATTTTCTTGGGAATAAAATGAGAAACTAGAAAGGAAAGAGGAAAACCCAAAATTAAAAGAATTGAAAGGCTAAAAAATTGTATTTTAGGAAAGTAATTTGAATATTTTTTTAATCATTTAAGGAGAAGATAGGTCTCTGCAATTCCTCTTTTTTAATTTCAATCATTAAGGTGAAGATTTTTGTGAGAAAGAGGAAGAATTAAATAAAGAAGAAAGAGAAAAAAAATAAAAGAAAGGAAAATAAGCTAAATGAAAAGTCAAAATAATGCAAGGGCAACATTGTGCTAAAGGGGGTTAAGTGAGCGAAATTAAAGGTTTGGTGGTAAAATGAGAAATGGGGTATTCTTTAAGGGGATAAAATGTGATTAACCCTTTTTTTAAAATTATTTTGAAACTTTCATTTAGTTTATTTTATTTTTCTGGTTAAAGTCTCTCCAGCTCTTAGTGTCCGTTGCTCTTGTTATGTAAGAGTTCCTTCTTGATCTTACTAGATAAACTTGCGTCATTTTTAGGTTCCCCTTGGGATAATTTTCTTTTATAGGATCAAGGATATACGAACAGTCTTCCCTTATATGATATACCATTGCTTTACCTATTGAGAACATGTGCATTAATATGCAATAGATGACTTTATTCTATCCATTATCCTTTTTGGTTGTAAAAGTTACCTTATTGGTTTGCTAGTTCCAGAATTGGCTGTCTTTCTTGATTTCTTTTACAAGCTGTCCTAAATCTAAAATCACACTCCGAAAACGCAAGAAATGATTTTTGTAATTTCTATGGCTTGAAATGTTGCAGGAAAAAAATGGTTTCTTTAATTTCTCTATTGATTACACTTTCTTTTCCTTTTTTTTTTTTGTCGAAGTAGGTTTCGTTGGAAATGAATATTTATAGTCCAATTATATTTACAGATTCTTTTTTCCAACTGCCTTATTGACAGGTATATCCAACTGATTATACAAGGTTTCAAGAAACGATCTTTAATTTTGTAAGGTATGCTATTTTGTTTACATCAAACTTTAAATCGACGTAGCAGTAGAGTTTAATTCTCATTTGTTCCATGCTCTGTTGAGAATGTTGAAGCCACAAGAATGATGCATGTTTTTCAATTCTAGCTTTGGAGGATATAATTCAACACATTGGCGCACAAAATATTACTTTGAACTTGTAAGTAAAACTTTTTACCGATTCATCCCTTTTGATTATTTTCAGTGTAGTCTTAATGGCTATTTTGTCACTTTTGATGCTGAGTAAAACACATCTGCTTTGAGTTTCTTCACAAGTGGGAAGAAAAAAATGACCATAACTCCTCTATTTTTGTAGCTGGTGTGCCACAAGTTTTACAATTTTTTGAACCATCAATTAGGTATATGCTTAAGGACTTGCATAAATTATTGTCACGTTGTGTGACTGTGTAATTAGTGACGTATTTTGTTTTTGAGGTAGAATATAAAAAACTGAGAAATCCCACTTTTTTGCTAAGTGGATCACTCGCGAAGTCCCACTTTTTGGCTTACCAATGGGAAAAAGAGATCTAGAGAAAGAGAGAAGGCCTACTTTTTTTCCCTGCATGATCATGATTGGAATACTCTGTTTTGGCATCGTCCAGGGATTCAAGATTGGAGTAATTTCAATGTCTGTTGTTTGTATGTGGATATATAGAGAAAATCAATTTGCTTTGTTTGTGGATCTAGACAATATGTATCCTTTGCATTTTAAATGGTGGACATTTTTTGTTCCAGTATATCCTATAGCATAGTGTATATGGGCCAGTTATGTAGCTCCTAATTTCATCCTGTTATGGTCAGTTGTATTTTGAATCACACTGCATTGCAACTTTCACTAAACTCTTTTAATCAACAATGTTTTCGCTAATTATATGCCTCCTAATTTTACTGTCCTGAATAATTCAACATCACAAAAATTTACAATTTTGCAAAGCATAATTGGGTAAGAGGCATATTTTCTCCAAGTCAAAATCTAAAAATGAACGGCCTCATAGGTATATGCGGGTACATACATAAAAAGAAGGAATTCTCCTGTTTGTAATTAAGCAGATCCCATTGTTTGTTATTTCTGTCAGTGTTGATGGTCTTCGCCTCTTCGGTCATGGACTTCTGTAATTGAAGCTGGAGAAGAAAACACCTTTTGCTTGTATGCTTGAATGCTTCTTGTCTGATGTGGCTCTTATAACTTTTGCTAATGTGCTTTGCGTCTGATTTTGTTGCTGCTACTAAAGTTTGTAGCTATTCAGCCACTGTGTACTTTCTATAGCTAATTGCCCCTTTGTTTCCAAGTCTATAGTTGAAGGAAACACCAAATAAATGGAACAAAATAGCAAAGTTCTTTACTCTGATGACATCCCTGAGTTCTTCAAAGTGTATAGAGATCAACTATGCTCTTAACAATTGGTAAGATCCCTCCTTGAACATACCAAGTTAAATTTTCCCTTCTAATCCTCACTTGCATTTTGTTATATAACCATATATATTGATTTATATAACTAGATTTAAATGCTAATAATCATATAAATCAGTGATGTGTCCCCTTTGACTACTACCAGATTTATTTTGTGGTTTTCTTAGTCAAGGTGAGATTAGTTGTATCCTTGTATTATTACATTCTTGGTCATTTTTGAAAATACGCACTTGTGTACAGATTTACGTCTAGTAATAAAACCAAGTCGTGTTTGTACTAGAAAAAAATACCCTCTTTTTGGTTGACACGGATACAGGGTATGAGCGCTCAATTCAACATAATAATTCCCGTTTCCTAAGTTAATGACAAAGCAGCTTTCAGGGTGTTGTATAATCAAGCATCCAAGAAGAAAGTAGGTTGCTTTTTGGTTGTATGTGCCCTACAGTTCTCTAGCAATTTACTGACTGACAATTGGAGTCTTGTTGTTTTAGAAAATTCCGCCAGACTTTGTCAAGAAATTCGATAAAGATGTACCTCAGACATTCATACTTGAGGGTCCCCAGGGAAGTTCTTGGCTGATTTTAGTCGTCAAAGTTGGAGAATGTTTCTATTTTCAGGAGGGTTGGCAAAATTTTGTGGAAGATAACTCCTTGGAGAATGACGATTTTCTAACTTTCTGCTACAGTGGTTGTTCAACATTTTACGTTGAAATATTTGGCAAACACGGCTGTAGAAAGAAAGTTGCTTGCACAACTTGGAAAGACAATGCAATGCATAGGAATGACAATGCAGTGGAACAGCTCCATGGTGGCTATTGAACAGTCTATTCTTGATCAGTTTTTCTGAAATCAAGTAATCCTATTTTAAGAAAAATTTTTACCACAACTTAATTCGTGTGGTGAAAATTATGCAGGCAAATCGAACAATAGTCCTAAGCAAATGGGAAGATCATTACGTTCCGGGACAAGGGGTTCATGTTCAGAGATTAGTCAAGCTGGCAAAGTGCAGGACAACTCGAGACACAATTCTGATCCTTTTAAAGTTCAACTGACAAAAACTTATGCTAACAAATATGTGGTAAGTATATTGAACCCATGTGCTCAACATCAGTGACGGAGTCAGGATTTTTTTTTTAGGGGGGGCCAAAATTTTTTTCTAATAAAATTATCTTAATATATTATGTTCAAAATAATTGTCTTCTATTTAAATATATGACATCTAAAAATATCAAATATTAAATTTAATTATAAAGGTATGTCTATTCATAAATATGCGGTACAGTCATAACAAAAACTAACAAAAAAAATAACTTTTGATTAAATATTTTATAACATCACAAACCATCCAATTTGCACATTATGAGAAGATGCTCTCCAATATGTCACCTGTGCAATATATATATATATATATATATATATATATATAACCATGTAATATAAATGTAACTATTTTCAATTGAAAAAAGATAAAAGTTATGTTAACATACTTTGAAATTTCAACATCTTTTCTTAGAAGTAAATTGAGCTCTACGCTCTTTCATAGAACTAAATTCATCTATGATTGAATCACTGCTAAATTTTTCAGCTACTTCCTTTTCTATATACACAGTTAGACAATCATTCAAGAAATTATCTTCCATCTTGTTTCGAAGCTTTGTCTTGATTATTTTCATAATTGAAAATGTCCGCTCTGTAGTTACAGTTGATATAGGAAGAGTAAGAACAAGTCTAATTAATCTGTCAATAAGAGGATATATCACTGACTTTCTTATTTTCACCAAACCTTGACATAACTCATGAATACCAGATAATTCTTGCAATTCAGGATGATTTGGAATGCCGAGCTCAAAATGTTGAAGTTCTATTCTTAGATGTACTAGTTCTTGGTCCATAAAATCATTCGGATAAAACTTCTTTGCAAGTTTACAAATATAATCAATCTTGAATAGCATAAATCCATTTCTAGGATCTAAAGCAGTGCTCAAAACAAGCAATTCCACGGTATGATCATTAAACCTGCTATGTAACTCTTGCAATTGATAATCAATTGTTGCAAGAAATATATCCACTCGATGACTAATTCATATATATATATATATATCAACTCTCATAATATAAACTAAAATTGTAAAAATTTAGGGGGGGCCAATTTTATTTTACACACATATTTACATATTATGAATTAAAATTTTCAAAACTTAGGGGGGGCCATGGCCCCCCTGTGCCCCTCTTGGCTCCATCATTGCTCAACATAATTATAGCATATGGAAAACGATTGGAGGTGAAGGTGCTTAGGTTCCTTTTCATTGACTAGTTTAAGAAAAAGCCAATTGTATAATCAGATGACTTTTCTCAGAAATTTCTTCAACAACAGAGATGTCAGTCGACAATCACCTGATCACTTGAAGTTTCACTTTCTTAACTCTTAGTAAATGAATTTTTGTCAATCTTGTTTGCCTGAGGAGCATAGTTGATATCAAAGCCCAATAGGTACTCGTTTTAACTTTCCTGTTACTGTTCAATAGGGTCACTTGTTATAATCAAACAATATTCAGATATGTCATGGTTATATGTCTGATCATGGTACAGAAGTTTCCACGAGATTTTGAAAATGTTGAAAACCATTGGAGGAATGGAAAAAGCGCTTTCTTGCGGGTTCAGGGAAGAGAATGGAAGGTGAACATAGCGAAAAGTGGGAAATATTTTTTTCTTTCTACAGGTTGGTCCACTTTTGCGAAAGAGAATTCTCTGAAAGAAGGAGATGAGTGCAATTTTGAGCTGATAGATAACAACGCTGATGGTATAGTGCTCAAAGTTAATACATCGAAGTTCCCAGATAAGAGCAGTTCATTAGAAGGTATTCTTTCTTGGGAGCAATAGCAATTGCAGACAGAGCTTCTGTGCCCTTTCTTGGGATTAATAGCAATGTATTGGCCTTTTGCATTCTGTATTTTAAGTTCTCCAGAAGGAAATGGTTTCCTTTTTTCTTTTTTTTTGGATAATGAAGGATTAAAGAAAGCCAAATCTTCAAGTAACTGCTGGAATTATTTTATTGCATATGTTAGTGTTGTATATTGACTTACCCTTTTGTTCATTAGTGAACTTGCAGTGGCATCCTTAGTTAAAAGCTACAAGTCAGGAGATTGTGTTGTGGTTATCAGAATTGGTAAAGATGGTGTTTCATATGCCATTTGTGGCTACCTTTAGAGCATCTCCTAGTATCCTCATTGATGTTGGCTTTTAACTTTGCATGGTGGAGAGTGCAGGCCTGTTTCTTTTTCGTTTCTTCAAATTCAATTGAACCATTCTAATTTGCTTTTAACTAGTTTTTCAAATTTTCAAGACAGTCTATTAAGTTTTTTATCTTGCAGTTGTAATTAAGAATACATTTTTGATCATGTTGAAGCAGTTGAGTCCCAAGAGAGCATCATAACATATACATCTAGTTAATGAGTAACAAAAATTTCTAGCCTCTCTGAGCCACAGAGATGTGCAAATGCCTTCTGTGTAGCTTGTACGAAAAGAACTTGAGAATCAACTTTTAACTTAGTTTATCTGTAAGCTTGTATGTATTAACCTGAATGGATGTGGATTCATGATGATAGGAGACCCTCAATTTTTTAATCCAATTATATTTATTATTATTTTTTTTTGGCAAAACCCCGTACACAGGTAGGGATGCCAGCCCCTTATTTATTTATGTAAGTCCCAAAGACAACCAAGAGGGGGGTGAATTGGGTTGATTAAAATCTTAACCAAATTTATTCAATTTTTCTTTAATAAAAATTGACCTTCTTTTCAAGTAATGATCAACCAAGTAGATTAGAAGATATGAGCAATATTGATCAGAAAAACAAGTATAAATAAGCAATGAGAATTTTAATTAAACAGAAAAGTAAAATAGGGAAACAAACCAAGTGTCTACCAAGCTATACCCAAACTTGAAGACCAAACACTAGGAAGAGCAACTTCTCTTTGATGAACGAAGATCAACTAGATGTACAATGGAGGGAGCACTTCCTCCTTGCCCTAAGCCTCACTTAGTCAAGTTAGGAAGTTTTACAAACACTCAGAAAACCCTCAACAAAGCTACACTAAAGATCCTTTCAACCACAAAAGAAATGCTCAACAGAAATTCACACCACTTTAAAACAAATCTGCTTTGGAGACTATTTTCTAGCTAAAATATCTCTTGAGAGCTTGTAAACAAAGTGTGCAAAAGTCCCTTCTTGGTTCAGACCAGTTTGATTTTAAAGGGATCCAGAAATGGGCTTCATCAATGCTTCCAACGGATAGAAGGCAGCTGAAGAGTCAACTAGCCGTTGGGGCTGTCGGACGTCCGACGATCGAATCATCGTCCGAACCAATCGTCCGATGATAGCCAAGTTGAGGTTCGGACGTCCGATGAGTTTTTTGTCGTCCGACAGCACAACGTCCGACCTTGGGCCGAGAGCTAGCAAGTTATCTTGAAATTTTTCGGACGTCCGATGCGGTTGATGAGCGTCCGATGGCAAGCGTCCGATCCTTCCGGACGTCCGATGCTTCCATGTGAGCGTCCGACGGTGCTTCCTTCCTGATGTTCTTTATCTTTTCGGACGTCCGACAGTTTCCTTTCGGCCGTCCGACCTGATTGTCCTGTTTTCGCTTCTCATTTTGGTTGTTTTACATTTCATGACATATTTGAACCTGATTCTTGGATAGACAAAAACACTTGTATTTGAAGAAGGTTAGACAAATATTTCAAAGTACCAAGAATGACAAACTAGACATACTTAAAAGACAATATCTTTGATTGAAACAAAACAATGACTAAATTCATTCATATTATTTCAATCTTGTTTACCACATCCAAAGCAACGTAGTCAGGAGATAAACGAACATATGCTTTCTTTGTTCCAACAGACTGATCAAAGTGTTCACTTTCTTGGTCTGTATAAACAAACTTTTGTGATCATCAAAATCAAGAATAACATTCTCCCCCTTTTTGATGATGACAAAACAAAAGTTTGAAATGAATTTTGATTGATTGCAATGAAAACTCCCCCTTTCTAAATAGACTAGAACTCCCCCTTTCTTAGTGAATCATAAAAAATTTGAAAACCCCCCCTCACTAGGCTGCCCAACCGAGTTCCAAAAACATGACAATTAAGCAACTCACAACCAACATATTACCAATTCAATCCATCATCAAAATCCAAATTTAATTAAACCATCAATCAATTCAACATATCCAACATCATCAAATCCAACATATCAATCATCAATCAGATCTCTCCCCCTTTTTGTCATCACAAAAGGGCAAACCAAAAACATCCATCTTATACACAAATACATCTTATCCACAAATGCAAACCAAAAACAATTCATTCCATTCACACAAACAGAATAGACAAACATCACCAGTACTTAAACATCACCGGACTTAAACATAAACAAGAATATCCATTATATTACACCACAGTACTTAGAACATCCATCAAAACACACCAAAAGAAACTTAGAATATCCATTACATAACATATTCATTGTTGAATTCCACAAACACCTAAAAGAGACAAACAAAATGCAAATGTCCTAAATGATGATCTAAGTGGATCCAGGTGTCCTCCGAGAAAGCTGATATTGGTCGAGATCCTCCTCTTCAGTTTCTTCATCTTCAGCGGCTTCTACAACTGGTGCCTTGCCTTTGTCTGATATGGAAGGGCCATGAGGAGTCACAGGAGTTGATGGATTCGGATCTGGAACAGATGAACCTGGATCAGTGGTTCGAGATTCTTTGTCATGTGAGACTTCCTCAACCACAGGTGGGGGAAAAAGAAGATTCGTTTTGTCAAGAAAGGCAGTTTGTTGCTCAGAAGACATGGTGAGCATTAGGCCATGTTCTAGAAGAAGAACATGCTGTTTGAGTTCATGAAGAAGCTGAATTACTTCATTACTTGAAGAGGAAGATGCTTTAGTGGCAGACTTCCTAGGGTGAATGGGAGTGAGTGAAATGGGTGAAGGATCATGTATAGTCTTAGACCTCTGTTCACTAGATGATGCCCCCTTATATGCCCACAGATTATCTTTAAAAACAAGATTTTTCCTTTCAAAATATGCTCTGGTAAAAGCATAAGAAGATGCTTCTTTGGGACAAACACCTAAAATTGGAACTTTGTAAAATTCAAAAATCTTTTGAAGAAACTTTCCATAGGATAGTTTTCTTCGAGAGTCAGTAGCATAGCGAAGTAAAAACTTGCACATGACAAAACCAAAATCAATCCGGATTTTTTCTCGAAAACAATAAAAGAGATACAACTCCATTTTGTTTGCATCAGTTCTGTGGCCATCAGTGGGCACAAGCAGGTTTGAAATGATAGAAAAGGCAATTAAATTCACAGGGGCCAGATCATTCAACTTAGCATCAGCAGGTGAGGAAAAACTTCTTTTGAAATAAGTTAACATTTTTGTCCCATCAAAATGATTTGCAGCAGTAGGGAGCTCTTCATAGGAAAAGAAATTAGCAACCTTATCTTTGCATAAACGTTCAATTGTAGTTTTTAAAATGGAATTCACAGTATCAGAATCAAAGATGAGGTCTACCCCATTTACCCTAGACATGATCTCAGTTTGGTCAGTTCCTTTCCTAAGGTTGGCAAAAAATTGATGCAGCATATCAGGATAGTAGACATTGGGCATGGAAATGAGATGTGACCATTTCTGGAAAGCAAATAGATTCAGAATGGATTCTAAACCAATGGAGCGAAATTCAGAGGGGTTTACAGTTCTTTGAGGGATGACACCCTTCTGAGATATCCAGGCGTATCTGTCTTTCGCAGCATCATCAAAGAATGGAGGGAGAGGGACTGATTTAGGAGGCGGTTGAGAAGAGGTCCCCTGTCCAGATTCTGGTTGAGAAGTGGGTTGTGGAGTAGGTCGTGATATCTGACCCTTGATAGCTCCCCTTTTGAAGCGCTTGGATGTCCGTTTGACAGTAGGAAGATCCTCATCCTCATCCCTGAGTGGATACTTGCGTCCGGCAGTAACTTTTCCTCCCCTTAGATTCACCATTTTTCTAAATGTGTGGAATGGAGGATGCAAATGATGCACACAGCAGTAGGGAAGTGAATCGCACAGAAATTTTGGGACAAAAACACCTTGAACGAGATTTGACAGAGCGGTTATGCAAGAGTAGGGTTGTGAGGAAAATTTGGGGATTTGCGAAATGTTATTCAGTTTGGTGAAATGATCAGGAGAAATGAACCGCAAACGATGGGGAAATGTTTTGGTTGAGTCAATTTGGGAATGGTAGCTACAAAATGGTACGAATTTGAGAGTGAGGGAAGAGAGAGTTTTCGTCCGAGAGGAAATAGGATGGGAAGAGTCTGAAGCAAATGCGGAAGAAAGTTGTTTTAAAAAATGAGCCGTTGCACTGTCGGACGGCCGAACGAAGTTGTGCGTCCGACAGTTGCGTCCGAACAGGCGCAATCTGGAAAATGGCTGAAGAACATCATCGGACGTCCGTTCATCCTCTTTCGGACGTCCGAAGGCAATGAAAAATTTATGATGATTTTTCGAACATTCCTAATTTTGATCTTAGATGAATGAATTGATCTAATGGCAAAGCTTTTGTAAAAATATCAGCAAATTGATCTTTAGAACAAACATAATTTACACAAATTTCACCTTTTTGAACAAGATCACGAATAAAGTGGTGCTTTATTTCAATATGCTTTGTCCTAGAATGCTGAATAGGATTTTTGGTCAAATTTATAGGACTAGTATTATCACAGAATACAGGCATGCAGTCATACAACAATCCATAGTCATTCAGGGTATGCTTCATCCATAAAAGTTGAGCACAACATGCACTAGCGGCAATATATTCCGCTTCGGTTGTAGACAATGAGATTGCATTTTGTTTCTTGCTAAACCAAGAGACTAAACAATTTCCAAGAAAGTGACAAGATCCACTAGTACTCTTTCTATCTACACGACACCCTCCAAAATCAGCATCCGAATAACCATATAGTGCAAACTCACTGGATTTAGCATACCAAAGACCATAGTCTAATGTACCTTTCAAATACCTAAAAATTCTTTTTACAACATTCAAATGTGATTCTTTTGGACACGATTGAAATCTAGCACATAAGCAAACAGCAAACATGATATCAGGTCTACTTGCAGTTAAATAGAGTAAGCTTCCGATCATACCTCTATAATGC